GTATTATTTTGAGTGGTGTCAACTACCAATTTGAGTGAGTTAGAGTAGATTTGAATTCTAGATGAATTTCTATATTTATAATATTTCAATATTCTCTTAGAGTCACACAATAATTAAATTTTTTTTTGAAAAGAATCTTTATACAAATTTCCATTACTGAGCACCTAATTCCAAAGCTTTTAGAGCAATCATAATAGTGACATTTTCAGAATTTTAGTTAGATTTTTAACATATATATAACGGAAAGAGAAAATAAGAGAGAAAAGATAGGAAACTCTTGCAAGTGTTCTTTTTTTTGCTTTTTCCTTTTTTTTTTTTTTTTTTTTTTTTTTTCTCCCCTCTCTTCCCTTCTCTCTTATTTTGCACAAAAAATTGTGACCATTGAGATTGCTCTCACTTCTATTTGTTGTTAATATAATAATAGATCACAGTGGTGGGCTTAGAGACCCGAAGAAAAACAATTGGTTAGAATTTTTTTAATAGCATCGTAACTATATATGTAATTCTTATCATTTTGATTTAATAGAAAAAAAAATGACATGAACGGGCCAAAATATGGCCAACCAGCATAAATCTCAATCTTTATGCGTTGGACCCGTGTCCAGCAAGCTTGCTGGACACGGGTAACAGTGCCTAACGGCATTGTTATCTTTTTTTTTTTTTTTTTTTTTTTTTTTTTAAAAAAAAATTTCAGACCGCTTCATTGTAAGAGTATATGTTCATAATTTTATTACTATATGTTAATAACTATACATTCATAACTTCATAACTGTACGTTCATAACTCTATAACTGTACATTCATAACTCCATAACTGTACATTCATAACTCCATAACTGTACATTCATAACTCCATAATTGTACATTCATAATTTTCGAAGCTCTATGTTCACAATTTTAGAGCTCGATCTATGTTCATAATTTTATCACTATATGTTCATAATTGTAAGTTCATAATGTTAGAGCTCTTTGTTCATAATTTGATCAATAACTGTACATTCATAATTCCATACTGTAGATTCATAATCTCATAACTGTAGATTCATAACTCCATAACTGTAGATTCATAACTTTATAACTGTACATTCATAACTCCATAACTGTACATTCATAATCTTCGAAGCTCTATATTCACAATTTTAAAGCTCCATGGTCATAATTTTATCACTATATATGTTCATAATTGTAAGTTCATAATGTTAGAGCTCTGTGTTCATAATTTCATAATTGCATAACTGTATATTCATAACGGCATAACTGTACATTCATAATCCAAAAAAAAAAATAATAACGCCGTTAACGCCGTTAACGGCAAAACGCGCGCAATTTTTTTTTTTTTTTTTTTAACTAAATGACGCGTTTTTTTAAAAAAACGACGTCGTTTTGGGCCCGTGTCCACAATTCAATGTGGACACGGGTCCAGGGCATAATTTGCCCATAAATCTGCAATGTATCTATTGGGCTTTTCATAGCATAGTAGTTAATTGGGTTTACATTCTCTCATCTACCCGTTAATTCTTTATCTTTCTTTTAGTAGGCCTTGAGTTGGTTACTAACATTCTATTTCGGTCCAATGTTGACGTGTTACTTTACGTTGGGTTTTTAAGAAAATCCAAATGAATATTATTATTATTATAAAGTACTGACTGGAAACCGGTAAAAACGAGAGAATACAATCAGGTCAATATTGGAAATTAGATTGAGAGCTTGCCATCTTAGTTAATATGTGGGTAATCAGGTTCAGGTTCAATTCGTTGATTCTTACATTTATGCTACTATATAGCTCATTAGAAATCACGTTCCACTATCTTTATATACATAAGTGCAAGTTACTCCACATTCGAGCATTATGTATTGTGCAACCCTTTCACTGTAATTAACAGTTTGTGTTTCAATAGACTATTCTCTGCATTCACGAACCCGTTATTTCTAATTTTACTTCACATGCAACCCTGACTACTTTTACATGTCACTTCACACTCTACTCACGTTATGTCTACGCATGCTCCCACGATGCACCATGCACCTACCACCCTCTAATCAAATTAAACACACCCACCTACCTAGCCAGCTGATTGCTACTAGGTCCCATTGCATAAAACCTCCATGTCCCTTGAATGCTTCTCCTATATTGCCATATTGGTATTCTAGCATAATGTCAACTAATTTAATAGGCCATTAAATAGCCTAATTCCCCATTAGATATGGTTAGTTCAATAGATTCATTTTGATAAATAAATAAGAGTTCTAAATAACTTAAACACAACACCTAAACAAACCACAAAACACCATTAGGAAGCTAAGAAACCCTAGCATACCAAAAATGGATGCGGTAATGTCAAAACAAAATGTCCTAAAAAAAATCAAATGCCCTTGAGAAATAAACACTTTACTCGAATGTCGAACAAATGTCAAAACTAAACACCCTTAGATATATAACGTGGCATATGCCGTAGTGTACACAACGATCTTAAAATTCAACATTGTAAATTAACAAAATTATTGTTGAAAGAGTTGGCCCGCACTTACCAAATATGAAGAAGTTGGTTTCCAAATCCATGGTTGTAATAGGTGCTAGAAACCTCAGTCGTTATATCGTGCACCAGGGCACACAATGCATTGTGCGCCCCGCCCTACTAAAATCGACGTCGTTTTGGTGCATTATCAAAAAAAAAATTTATCTGTTTCGAATACACATAAACTCGTAACAGAATACACAGAAACTCATAACTGAATACACATAATCTAACATGATACATAATACACATAAACTCTTAACTGAATATACAGGAACTCTTAACTGAATACACATAAACTCTTAACTAAATACACAGAAACTCTTAACGGAATACACAGAAACTCTTAACTGAATACACATAAACTCTTAATTGAATACGCAGAAACTTTTAACTGAATACACATAATGGGGTTTTTACCGTTTGGACGGGCGGAGTGACGTCAGCAATTGAAACGCGCGCGTTTTGTGCCTGGGTGCACATTGCTATGTGCACCGTGGTGCACAATATAAATTGCCAAATAGCTAGTCGGACAGTAGAGAGTAGCACTTAGCGCCTAGCCGGCTAACTATTTAAAAATAATAATAATAATAATAATGCACGTGTGTTGGTGTGTGTCATATTATATATATAATTTTACTAGAAATCTATTGGTTACCGGTAAATCGAACTTATGTGACTCATTTGAGAAGTTCGAGTGTTTAATTAAACTTTTCACAAGTCCAGAGACTTTGTTGCACTTTCATGTAAAGTTTAAGAGCATATTTGATAATTTTCACTTTAAAATATTAAATTTATTATTTTTTTTTAAAAAAAAATTATTTATATAATATTGATTAAATAATGATTTTTTTTTTTCATTTAAATTCTCAAACGGGAGAGAAATTTTGCCGCAAACATAGTAAACTCGTAATCAACTGTATATTCTAATTGAAGTTATTTGGAATAGAAAATCAAAATTCATAAACAATGAACACGGTTTAATTACTTAAAAAATGATAATTTAAGCAAAGAGAATAAAATCTCTAAACTTACAGCATCACATGCGTACATTTACACATTAGCTATTAATTTGAGCAATAATTTGCTCGAATTCAATCAATAATAACATCAACAAACATAAACGATCCAAACCATATCTTCAATTGCATTATATAATATTTGATGTTATAATTTAAATAATTGTATATCGATCCAAATATTCTTAATATGTTATAACAAATTCATTCTGTGCATCGCACGGGTGAAATACTAGTTATTTTTAAAATAATGTTACTATGACATCTATATTTCTTTTAGAGAAGTGATTCAAAAAATAATATTTTTTTTCCAATTTTCTAATGATAGAAAAAATTAAACGATTCAAATTAAGTAAACTTATTATATTTTAATTCTTACCCCAAAGGACAATAAATTTGCAAAAGATTTTTTTCTAAATAAGCAAAAATCAAAAAAAATATCAAATATTCCTTTTTACGCACACTAACTTGATTATTATAAAACATGAAAATGAACATAAATAAACATTTTAAAAAGTTACGGAGTATAATAATAGTATAAAAACAAAATACCTATTATTATTATTATTATTATTATTATTATAATTAATAATAATAATAATAATAATAATAATAATAATAATAATAATAATAATAATAATAAGTCAAAGCATATTCGTTTAACAAAATTTTTGTACATAAAGGAGAAAACAAAAGGAAAGTGGGCAAATTTGGAAATGTCTTACCAAAGTAAAAGAAAATAAATAAAATAAAATGCATGAAAAAAAAAAAGTAATCAAAATGCAAAACTCATCATGAATGTGATTACATCAATGTATTTTATATTTTCATTAAAACATATATTAACCTTTTATATAATTTAGTAAATTTGTATAATATTTACATAGCGCATTGGTATTTGTACCAACAGAATAAGACTAATCTAATTAAAATTTGATTACGGTTTCATGTTCAAGTCTCGAAAATTCATTGGTACTTGAATTAACGTATTTTGAAATGTCTTTTGAGCATAATTTTCAAGGAAAACACAACAAATGACACTGATGCAATGAGGAATCATTGTTGAATTTGGCGTATATCAAACGGCTAACGATAGAGAAGAAGAAATCAAGAATACCTTATTTACCTTTGTTCACAAAAGTTAAAATTCTGACACTCATATCTTAATTTATAAAAAGAAAATGAAACGGCAGCCCATTAAGTAAGAAGCTCGTATTTTAATATTTAAAAAGAGCCCATTAAATTAGATTTAACTATTACGGAGTACATTATAGTGTGAGACGAATTGAGCGGTAGGTTCATAAAATTAGGTTTAACTATTACGGAGTATATTATAGTGTGGGACCAACTGAGCGGTATGTGCATGAGGCGTTACTTATCCTATGAATAGGATTTCTAAAATCTAATCCTAATTTACAAGGATACTATGAATAGGGTTTTTGCCTATTCCTAAAATCTAATCCTAAATTTACCAAGGATACTATCAAAAAGGGATATAGTACAAAACACTGGAAAACATGAAAGCTGGAAATTGAAGCTACTCTCTGTTTCTCTACGGCTCTACTCATAAGCTCTGAGCAAATTCTTCTCCGTGTGATCTTCTGTCTCCCCAAAGACTCTCCCTTTTTTGCATAACTCCACTCCCATTGAGAAGGAAAGAGGATAGAAACAAACACCTTTCTGATCCTTCGTAGAATTTTCTTTTTGTGTGTAGTTATTGGAATTCTCGATTCTCCGGCAGAACCCTTTGCCCCACCAAATCTACTTTCGGAGTATCGTATCGAAGCGTTGGGAATGGCGGCTGCTTTCTGAGATATCAGTGGTGCTCTGAGGACTAATCTTTGGTGCTTTCATGGGTGATCTTAGAGGGCCTTTCGCCAGCGCAGCAGGGAAGGAGGGGCCGGCGTCGTCTTCGCCCTCGGCGGCGAACCCAGACCCGTCTTCTATCGGGCCAGAACGATGGGCCGGGGCTGAGAAATTGACCCGGGATATCATTCAGAATGTCCAGCCGACAACTGAGTCTGAAGAGCGGAGAAAAGCGCTCACCAATTATATTCAGAGGTTGATCAGAGATTCAATTCACTGTGAGGTTGTACTTAAGTTTAATGCTCATGCATGTCTTTTCTATTTGTTCTTTGTCAGATTGAATTTTATGCAAATCTTTTATCTGTTCTTTTTGCAGTAGAATGTGAAATTGCTATTTTCCACAAGGGTAACAAATGTTTTGATTGCATATAGTCCACTACATTGGTTAAAAAAGCTGAATTCTTTTGGTTAAATTTGCTTATTTGCATAAAAATATATTAATTTTTGGATGTTTGTGTATTCTGTATATATGTGAAGCATACTTAATGGTGGCTAAGGTTGTTTCCTGATGATTGCGAGATATCTTTTAAGCTTAGGATTAATAATTTGATGAAAATTTGCATAATGCATTTACGCAAGATGGTGCATTGGCAAATGGCAAATGGCAAATGACAAAGCATATCTTTTGGTTAAATTTGCTTATTTGCATAAGAATATATTAATTCTAGGAAGTTTGTGTATTCTGTATATATGTGAAGTATACTTAAAGGTGGCTAAAGGTTGTTTGCTGATGATTGCCAGATAACTTTTAAGCTTGGGATTAATAATTTGATGAAAATTTGCATAATGCATTTACACAATTCATTTCAGTGATGTCTTGTTAACATTTATGGAGTATTAAATATCTCATATCTGTTTTGGATATATTGGCAAATGGCAAATGGGAAAGCATAACTTTTGGTTAAATTTGCTTATTTGCATAATATATTAATTTTAGGAAGTTTGTGTATTCTGTATATATGTGAAGTATACTTAAAGGTGGCTAAGGTTGTTTGCTGATGATTGCTAGATAACTTTTAAGCTTAGGTTTAAGGATTTGATGAAAATTTGTATAAATGCATTTATGCAAGTCATTTCAGTATGTATTGTTAACAGTTATGGAGTATTAAATATCTCATATCTGTTTTGGATACCTTGCATTGACAAACTGTGAAGCATAAAGATTTGGTTTTCCTATTCTCGTGCACTTCGATTAGTTGAGCCAAAGTTCATTTTAGTTAAACACTGAGCATTGGGTGTTGCTGTTTTTGCCAAAAAAAAAAAAAAAAAAAAAAACTTTTGAAAAGGAAACCTTTTTGGGTTCTAATAATTTACACCTTTTTGGAAACATATTTTTGTTAGTGACGTCGTTTGTGAAGGTAGCTATGTTTGTACGATGGGCATTGTTCATGCTTTTATCTATGTTATCTAACAGTTTGCACTGTTTCACACGGCTAGCTCACTGGATAGTTTCAAATATAAACATAACTATTAATCGTTGTACACGTTGTGAAAATGCTATGCTTTCGGTATTACTCTACAGTTTATAATAAAAGTTCTTTTGAATTAATAACAGGTATTTCCATATGGATCGGTACCTCTAAAAACCTTTCTTCCTGATGGCGACATTGATTTGACTGCCTTTGGTGCTCCCATGCTGGAAGATGGGTTGGCAAATGACATAGTATACATTCTTGAAAGAGAGCACCGAAATAAGGCTGCTGAGTTCACAGTAGACGATGTCCAACTCATTTCTGCCGAGGTCTTTTTTTTTTTTTTTTTTTTTTTTTTTAAATTTTATTATTATTATAGTTACAATCATATATTGTATACTGATGCTTGCCTTTTTATTTTTTTTTTATTTTTTATTTTTTTTTATTTTTATGGCAGGTCAAGATTGTGAAATGTATAGTACAAAATATTGTCGTTGACATCTCCTTCAATCAAATCGGCGGTCTTTGCTCTTTGTGCTTTCTTGAGAAGGTACTTCCTTGAAATTGAATTTTAATTTTGCGGAGACTACTAAAAAGTGATTGAATGCACTCGAGATGCACTCAACGTGCACTCAACATGCACACAGTCACATTTCTCATAAGATTCTTTTCACTTGCCATTTACTCGATAATCTTGTTATTTATCATTGTGCTCGTGAAGTTTGAAGAGGCGTTCTTATATTTGTGCAGGTCGATCACATAGTTGGGAAAGACCATTTATTTAAGCGCAGCATTATATTGATAAAAGCGTGGTGCTATTATGAAAGCCGTATCCTCGGTTCTCATCACGGCTTGATATCTACTTACGCTTTGGAGACTCTGGTTCTATACATCTTTCATCTATTTCACTCTTCTCTAGATGGTCCCTTAGCAGTGAGTTTCCTTGGACTTATGCTATGTATCCGCGATATTTTATTTGCATTTTACAATCTAATGATTGGAACGTTTGCGTTCTCAGGTTCTGTACAAATTTTTGGATTATTTTAGCAAGTTTGACTGGGAGAATTATTGTGTTAGTTTAAACGGTCCAGTCCGCGTATCATCTTTACCTGATATTGTGGGTAAGCAACATCTCATACTCTCATAGCATTGTTATATGCTTCTTCATTTTATTTCATCGAGGCGATTTTCTTGTCCCTTTTGCAGCCGAGGCACCTGAAAATGGCGGTGGTGATTTTCTGTTGAGTAATGATTTTATTGGATATTGTGTCAGCAAGTTTTCGGTTCCTTCCAGAGGCTTTGAAATGAACTCCCGGACCTTCCAACAAAAGCACCTTAATATTGTTGATCCTCTCAAAGAAAATAATAATCTTGGGCGTAGTGTCAGTAAAGGTACGATCGAATTCTATTTCTTGAGTTGGCATTCCTTTCAATTTTATATATTTCGTTTTTGGTCAGGATAGCTTGCTTAAGGCATAAATATTCTCAATATTCTGTAAAATGGCATTATTCTAATTCACTTTTGGTCCCTTGACTATATTGTATTCTTAAAATTAGTATTTGACTTCAAAATTGTCCCTTGACCTTTGTTTGTGAAAATGTCAATATTAGCCCTTCCAACAGGGCTAAAATAGGTGCATAAACATTGCACTGTTTTAAGCTCGTATCTTAAATAATTTATATCTTGGATATTGTGTACAGGAAATTTCTACCGAATACAGAGTGCTTTCACATTTGGGGCTCGGAAACTGGGGAGAATTCTTCTGCAGCCGAAGGAGAACATTGCTGATGAACTTAATAAATTTTTTTCTAATACTCTGCACCGTCATGAAAGTGCACCGAGGCTTGGTGTTGAAGATCTCGGTCCAGCAGTGGGCCCCGATAGTTTCTTTCCATCACGTCCTGTTTCGGGGAGTGATTCATCCGGAATGGAGGATGTCAGTTGTAAAATGAAATCCAGTTGTCTTGCTGATTCTACTGGAGATTGTAAGGTTAAGCCCAATGGAATAGCGGGTAAGCCATTTTTTGCACCACATCTCTGCTTTACTAAATCGGGAAGCAATGGGGAGATGAAAAGGGAAAGCTCGGAGGAAAAGCCGGCAGAGAGGCATGGATGTAACGAAGGAAAGGGTTCGGAGCAGAACCTTTTGAATGATAAAAACGAGGCGTTGACCACTCAAAGCTCACGGCCCTTGAAGGGTTTGTCAGATCTCAGCGGGGACTATGACCATTACTTTCGTTGTATGCAATATGGTTGGCGGTGCTATGAATATCTGTCGGCATTACCTATACCTCCGCCGCCGCCACCCCCACCGTTTCACGTCAAGAATCTGTCAGGTCCGGTTTGGCCGCCATCACAGTTGATACCGAATGGTTTTTCTCAGGGGAGTCCTAACGGCTTCATTCCTAGTCAGTTGTTCTACCCCACAAACCCCCGGTTACTACCCACCGCTGCATTTGGCTTCGAAGAGATGCTAAAGCCACGAGGAACCGGAACATATTTCCCAAACATGGTAATTTCTCATACGATGTTTTCCTAATACTATGATCATTGTGTTCCTAAGAGCTCTGTGCTTTAAATTTTCGCAGAATCAACCTCCTCACGGTTATAGGTATCCAAAGGGAAGGATTAGGGCACCGTTGAGTTCTCCAAGAACCAACGGGAGGAAACCGACTTTCACAGACACATACACGCTCGACAGTAACTACCATGAGATGCCACACTCTCGCCCCGCTTTTGCTCACAGCGAGGTCCATTTCGCCATTGATCAGAGAGAGGTGAACCAATCGTTTTCTCCTCGGGACAAGGTGCACCCTAACCTAAATGCTCCATGGATGACAGACTTCCCACCTGACGCATAGTTCTCGTAAAGCCTGCATCCTTGCCTTGTCAATAGTCAATAGTATGGTTGCAGCAATCAAAACCGGTGTTTACGAGGAACCCTGATATAGGTACGACAACCTATGATCACAAGTTGTATAACATCTGCCATGGATTGTGAATATCCCAGAACCAGTTAGAACAGGAAGATTTTAGTACTTAGTACTAATCCGTTTTCAGTTTAGCTGTAAGTTACAGTCTGTACCATACATTTTGCGTCAGCCTTTGATGATTCTTTCATTTTGTAACATTACAACGTTGTTGTTGGATGAAACAAAACAGGCTGAAATGTCAGGTAACTGAAATAGCGATATACAGTAATACTTTTTTATAGTGGCAACTATTCTTTTTTATTGTTGTTGTTTATACATTAGGTATCACAGCTTACGTTAGACTAATTTTAAGCTTCCAAAGTCCTTGGAAGAGGTAAAGTAAATCACGAGTTGTTCCATCAGTCTCCAGATTTTCATCCTTGCTTCAATTCTCCTCTGATCAATTAAGGTCTCTTAATGACCCTAAGTTTTCAGTGGAATTTAAATCTTCGTACTCTTACACTACCATTGATCTGTCAAGTGATAGTTAACAAGACTTGATTGGTTGAATTAACTGAGCTAATTCTGCGGGGAATGTAAACTATTAGTGTTTCAGGTGGCATAATGCTGAATTTTCTTTTTTTCCCAATCAAGTAGAAAATTGACTCGTTATAAAATCGCAGTTTTTTGGATTATTATTTGCTATAATAATTACAATTACTCAATAATTGAAGGTTGATGACTTCACACATGAAATTTATATATGAATTATTATGGTCCCCACTCTAATCTTCTTCTATAAACAGCATCAGGCATCAGCAACTAATCTGACTTGGTTTTCTTGCCGCTCGCCCTGCTTTTGTACCAACTCTGGGTTGCCACTTGCCACCAACACAGTTGACTTTCGTTCGGAGAATAAAATCGCTAAAACAGTCTCTGTTATACTCAAGTTATTCACGACTTAAACTTTATATCTAATTTAGCATTAATATATAAAATATTTTTTTAAAAAAATAAATGAAGAGTAAATATTTAGTTTGACCAATAACGGATTGAGTTAACGAGAATACTCGAGTAATTTATGACTTAAAATTTATATCTAGTTTAGTAATTAGCATTAGTATATAAAATACTTTTAAAAAAAAAAAATGAAGAGTAATGGTGTGTTTGCTTCATGGATTTACACACTAAGAATGAGAATCAAAATCATAGTTAGTGTTTGATTGACAACTTTTTAAAACACAATTATGAGATTTGATTACCTCATTATAGAATCATACATAACTAAACATCAATATTGATAATCATTTCAATTCCACCCAACTACCAAACATGCAAAATACTTTTACAAAAACCTATACGATTATTAAGTATTTGATTTCGATTCTCATGTGTGAACCAAACACACCCGGTAAAATGAAACATGTGGAACAATAACACCAACAACAACAATATTTTATATTTAAATAGGGGAGAACTTTTAATTAAGCCATGACCCCCACCCCCACCCACAAAACCACATTTTGTCTAATTTATCCATTATAAAAAATAAAAAAATACATTGTAAATGTTAATTAAAAATGAATATTAGTTCAATAAAAAAAAAAATGAGGACGAAAATGCGCATACACGTGGTCACCTATACGAATAGTAAATTTTGCCGTCAAAGAAAAGAGGTTGGTGAGAAAATGGACGAAAATAAATAATTAAAAAAAAAAAAGAGAAATGTTTAAGTTCGTAAAAAGTGGGTTGAAGATATTAAAAAAATCCAACATAAATAAATGATATAACCTTCATTTACACTTATTAATTTTTAGATATTTATTTATTTATTTATATATCAGCCCATATTTTCCCCTATACTAGCAATTTGGTTATTGTAAGTAAGAGCGCCACGATATGTTAACATGATATGAAATGATGCATGAAAATGAATTAGTATTTTTGAGTCATTAATGAGTTGATATGTTAGTAAGTAGGTATGAATAAAGTTTTTGATAAATTATTCGTGTTTATGTTCAATAAGCATTTTAAACGAATATAAATAAACAAATTAAATTTTAGAACTCATTTAATTAACGAACAAAATCTGAACATTTGTATGTACACTACTGGAAATTCTGAAATTTCCGACCACCTGAAAGTGATCTTAAATCAAGTTGAAAGTTTTGTTCCGATCACTTTTGGTATTCGGAAAAACATTTGTTGCTATTTCCGACCATTTTTTGGACTTTTTGGTATCAACTTAATTTAAGATTATTTTCAGATGGTCGGAAATTTCAGAATTTCCAGTAGTGGTACATCATTTGCTAAGAGTTCGTAGACAAGCATGCTTATTGTTCGTTTAATAATGTTCATGAACAAATAAATGACGTACATCTAGCTGAAGCAATTGCTATTAAGGAAGCACTTTCATGGGCTAAAGCAAGAGGAGTTCGAAAGGTGGTGGTGAATACTGATTGCCAAACAGTCTGCTCTTTACTTAATGGTTCCTTGCAGGACCTTTCTTATGCGGGCTGTGTTATGAATGAATGTAGAGAGCTTAAACGACACTTTGATAGGGTGTCCTTCTGTTATGTTTCTAGATCAGTGAATAAGCTTGCCCATACCTTAGCTAGGGCGGCTCGTTCGGATACTGATTCTCATTGTTGGATTTCTACTTTCCCTTCTTGTATTGCTTCTTTATTATAATAAATCTTTTGAAGGCGAGTTTTCAAAAAAAAAAAAAAAAACTCGTGCTCGTTTTTGGCTTTGATATTGGACGTTACTTTTGGACTTATTTGTATTATTTTTTATAGTTGTACGTTATGTTGTTTGTTTAATTTGTTTATTATTCGTGAACCTAGACTATTTCTTATTCATACACAAATTATGATTATGAACATGTACATGTGTTTGTTTGTTTAGTGTTTATGAACAAAATTAGTTGGTTGTTCACGAACACAGTTAATTGACCAAACGAATGAACATGTTCGGGAACATTAACGAACACTAATGAATAATTAACAAACGAATATGAACATATGACCATGATTTTCAAAAATCTTAACAAACAAACACGAACACAAATACTCTAAAAATCTTAATAAATGAATACCAACAAGCTATGTTCAATTCGTTCATGTTCAGTTCATTTACGACCCTATTAATAACCCGTTAAATTTCGTATCTTAATGGATTAACTTGCTTAATTGACCCGTTAAATTTAGTATTGGACTATTGGTAATGATTTTTAGATATTATTTTGTCATTTTATAAATATCTGGTAGTTATGAATTGAATATCTTTATTATTATATTTTGTTGCATTTCATTGTAATTTTTTTTTAAAAAAAGTATTTTCAAAGTTTTATTTTATTTAAAAAGTATATTAATATGTATAACATGTTTAAACAGAATATGTTATATCGTGTCATGTGAATCCAAAACATGTTACCTAAATGCATATATTGTACTAATCCATTTAAAAATTATGTTTTTTGTTAGAATTCTAACTCATTAATCTTAATGGGTAGTATCTCTATTTAAATCATATGATCGTATCATATATATATATATATATATATATATATATATATATATATATATATATATATTTGTTAACAAACTTGTTTATACGAATTATCAATTTTAACTCTAGTTGAGATAGTTGGACATGTATTTTGATTAAATTCAATATTGCCCAAAGCAATTTGAGTGCGGAGTGCGTGTATAATTGTCTTAATTGATATATTTGTGGGTGTTTAATCACTTTTTGTTTTCCTATGCTACTGAACACAACAACTAGAACAACAAATTAAATTTGTGAAAGTATTGTAATTATGTAGTTATAATAATTACAAAAAACAACAATACAGATTATTATTAATATTATATTATTGTTATTCTTTAATTCAAATGGTGGTCGCCTTCTTTGGCAATTAGAGGTTAGCAGTTAGTTGATTATTATTAACAATTTTAAATTTTTGACTAGTGAATTATATTAGCGATTTATTGAAAATATTTGATAGAATTAGTTATTTATTGTTAGCGATTAACATGTAAAAATATTTATAAAGATACAACAATAACAACAATTTATTTGTCATATTATATATAGGCTCTGTAAAATTCCTACATTGGGTGGAAAAACTTTATAAAAGACGAGCTTTGAGGTTCAAAATAATAAATTATAAAATTTATTTTTATTTTGAGATAATAAAACTTATAAATTTCTAATAAATTGACTGACCTCATTATGGGTTAAAAAAATTACTTATTAATTAGATACAAAATTAGTCAAGTATGATAATGTCACGTAGTATATTTGAAATAGTATAACTCTTATGGCCTGTTTGGTTGATAGGAAAAGTTTTTCTGAGAGAAATTTTTATTTAAATTCGAAAAAAAAATAAATTTTACCTTATTTGATTAATGGATAATTTATTTCAATGAAATATGAATTCTTTACATTTGAGAAAAATGAATTACTTGCTCTCATTTGGTATTTTATTTTCCACACATTTTAAAATAAAATTATACGAAGTAACATTTTATATTACTCTCACATATATTTAATATGTAGGGCATTTGAGTTTTATACTAATTATTTTGAAGACTTATTTCTCACCAACTAATATGTAATACCTCATTGAGGTTTTCCTTAATTTTTTTTTTTGATTTTTAAAAAATGATTGAGTTGACAAAATTAAATATAATTACCAGCTGACATGACATCAAATAGATGGGATTACATGCTAATAATTCAATAATTTAGTGTATTCCCTTTCAATTCACAATTATATTATTTATAATATAACTGCCACGCATACCTTTAACCACAAATGCAAACAACCCTCAGGAGACCGGTGTTGAACTATATATTCTAATAATCTTTAATTTATGGGGTATGTATAATGTAATATAATATAATATGGCATAATATAATGTAATAAAAATGTATGAATTGAATATAAATATGAAATGATTTGTTATCTTTTATTGGTGTATACAAAAATAAGAGTAATATACATTTAGTCTCTTTTTATTCTATTATTTATTTCATGAAGTTTTATTCATAACGGGAGACCGGCCTATAGTTTGAAAATGTGATAGGTGTTTGTGTAAATTGAACTAATATATCCTAACATAAATTAAATAATGAATTTATTTTGTTTTTGAGTCCAAACATATAGAATGAGAATGTAATGAACCATTGACTAAAATGGCTTAGAAATTTAGTTCCTTAATGTCTTAGAAATATCTAACTGAGCTAATATTTGAATCCAACAAATTGGGATGGTACGGTGAAGATGAAATAATGGAACATTGGAGAATTTGTGAAATTTGTATAGAACATGGAAAGAATGTAATTGGTTTTACACTTTAGTTGTTTATTATGAATTAATGGATCACACCTTCCATTAAAAAAAATCTATTTATTAAATAATACAAATCATGTATTGCAAGTGAAAAATTTTCAATCTCGTAGCATCTTTTTTTTTTTTTTTTTTTTTTTTTTTTTTTGAGTTTTTGAGTACCTAACTGTAGGATCGGAGGTACCTTTTAAGCACGTACCATACTCAGACTAATCCACATTCGTACCAAGCCGACCCAATACCTCTCCTAAAGAACGAGAATGCATGACCACTCACGCCAACCAAGCTAATTTCGTAGCATCATCCTTTGATTAAATCCATTCTTAAAATGTCTAATTACTTTTTATTTACACATAAAAAAGAATGTTTGATTTCGTAGTACATTATTCTAAAACAGTGTTCACCTATTTTTTTTTCTTTAAATCCCAAATAATTCTATTTATTTTCCTATCTTAGCTTTAGAATAAAATTTTAAAACTAATAAAAAATGTTTAAATTTTATTGGATGTGAATTTTCAATATTATTTTGCCAAGCGGATGTTCAATTTTTAAATCTATGATAGTGATCCTATGAGAACTATCATCTCATGAGTCTATAAGAATCAATATGGTACATTAAAAAAGTTAGATCTATGAAAGATTAGTTGGAGATTCAAAATTCGAGTGTGTATATGGAGCATGTATGCATATTCTATGTTGCGCACAATACATGCTTGACATGTACACACGTATTTTGAATCCCTCAATTACACACAACACATGCTTAATATGCACACGCGAATTTTAATTTGGACCCCCAATTTTTAATGCACTAAATTGGTTCCCATGGACTCATGGGAGGGTGGTTCTCATAGGAACATCACCATATATATATATATATATATATATATATATATATATATATATATATATATATATATATATATATATATATATATATATAATAGAATAAAATAGTTCCATTATTGCGATTAAAAAAAAACTTGTAACATCATAAACTCTCCTCATTTTATTGTTCTTTAACTACTCAATATGAAAAGGATTGATGATAAATTTCTAACCCTTATAGCGACCCTATACTATAATTATTTGATCAACTAATTCTAAAAGTTGAAGCTGTTTTAGCCCCCTATTGTTGTTACCGAATATATGATATCTTATTATTATTATTATTATTATTATTATTATTATTATTATTATTATTATTATTATTATTATTATTATTTAATAATATAATAGAAGAAAAGACAAAAGTTATCAATTATTGAAAAAATTAGCTAAAATTTGACATTTAAAATGACCATTGTGTGGAATATATAATTTTTAGTGGGGTTCATTTCGGATTTGATTTGAGTCAAAGTGATTTGGATTCTCCTAGTTGAGGTGATAAATTTAATAGAGTTCTACTACATGTACTTCCACACTTTTACTCCCGGATTTGACAATTATATTGATTATTAGTTATCTTCATTCTATTAGTTTCATGGAAAATGTCAACATCAAAATTTTGTAAGAGGGAGTAAAAGTTGGGAGTAGAAGTAGCTTAGTATTATATAACTTAATCTATTATACGCTCAAAACGAATAATGGGTGCATGAATAAGAAATTGATTTTTGAAATGTATCCATTTGAGTTGGCTGAAATGGAATTGAAAAGACGCGCGTTTGGGTAGCCTTTGTTTCAGAATGTGGGTTTGCATTAGTATATAAATACAATTCAATTTTTTTTTTTAAAGTTTGAATTGTATGTATAGTCTATTAATTGGCTCTCTCTTGCATGTATGAGATGTGCAAATCAAATTCCAAACATCTTGAACTTGTGTGCTTTGCATCAAAATATACTATAGGTGTACCTGTGCCTCTAAATAAACCTTAATAAAGCTTTGTATCAAAATATACTATAGGTGTACCTGTGCCTCTAAATAAACCTTGATAAAGCTACTCCGATCCCACAATGCAAGCTAAGGTTCTTGGGCAATTGGGGTCCCAACTTACAAGCTCTTTGGTGCACTCCAAAAGACATGAAACTCAACCGTGATGATAAAGCTATTCCTACAAGCTAATTAAGGTTCTCGGGCAATTGAGTTGGAAACTTGCAAGTCCTAAGTGCAGTCCAAAAGACATGAAGCTCAACCGTGATAATAAAGCTACTCCCACAAGCTAAGCTTCTCAAGCAATTGAGGTTGCAACTTACAAGCCCCTTGGTGCAGTCCAAAAGACATGAAGCTCAACCGTACGTGTTAAAGCTACTCCCACAAGCTAAGTTTCTCAGGCAATTAAGGTCGCAACTTGCAAGCCCCTAGCTTAGTGCAGCCCAAAAGACATGAAACTCAACCGTGACAAAACTAACTACTCCCATAAGTGAAGGCTCTAAGGCAATTGAGGTCGCAAAACTTGCCCTTTGGTGCAATCCAAAAGACATACATGAAGCTTGAGATGGAGTGCATAAAATTTGATTCCATCCGACTAACGCATGAACATGCTGAATAAGACAGATCGACTGAATCACAATTTAAGTCATTATAAATAGGAATCACTCGATTCTAACATCAACTTGTAATTCAATGACCCAAATTTATAGCTTTAAATAATACAATTTCAATGTAATTGTTATTTGTTTTCTAACATATTATATTACTATTCATATTGTATGAAATTAGATTAATAAGGAAGTCGGGTCACTATCCCTAAGTCAGCTAGTTTACTATTTAACATGGCCAACCGGAACCCGGGACGGCCATATATGAATGAATAATGCATGCATTGAACAATAGCACATACACACAATAATAACAACAACAATAATACCATACATCTTTCCATCTCCCTTTCATTATTAACCTCTTCCTCTCACCAAAAGTCCCATCCTACCCAAAAAAATCTTTGATCTCCAAAAAGCCAACAGTTTTCCATCAATCTAATCTCTCTCTCTCCTTCAATTCTATTCTTCCCTTTTGTCAAGAATCTGCTTGGACTTATCTGCCATATTCAACCACAAACAATGGTGCTGGTGCTCCCAAGACGACGTTGCTGTAGATTCTTCAAATTCAGAAATTCCCACATCGTTTCCTCTCAATTCCCCCACTTTTAGTGGCTCCACTTCATTCATCTCTGCAAATCACAACTCATAAAGAATATTCTTCAGATTTTATTGCTTCTCTTTCTTCCCCACTCCTTGCTTCTATAGATACATATATCTCCTGCCCACACACATATATATACACACACACACGCACAACGTTGTTGAAGTCAGATGAATCCTTCTGGTACAGTCTACGACGAGTTTTCGCGTGGAGTTATAGGGATGGGCTGGATCATGCTTAGGATCGATTACTCGAGGCTCTTCTGGCTTTTGTTTGGTGTTTTTTCATACGAGAATCACGAGGGGAAACCTCGGATTTTTTAGCACCCTCTTTCGTAATATTAGCTTTCAAAAACTAGGAAATTAAAAACATACATACATATATACACAACTAGTAGTAGTGCAATATAATAACCAAGCTTTTTGAGGAATTAAGGTTTATATATATACACACACTTTGATAGTGTTGTGTGTGTTTCATCACCATGCACAAAACCGGCCGTCTAAATGATATCCTCGGCGGCGGAGCCACCAAGTTGGAATATGTGGAGATGGATCCATCGGAACGCTATGGACGTGTAAGTTTTTAATTTGCTCTATTATTACTTATTAGTACTAACTATCATGATTTTTTTTTTAAATCATTAATAATTTATATGTTTTCTAGTCTAGGTTGAAATTTGTCATGGATTATATTAGTAGCATGCATGTATTTAAGAATTTAATGCCTTTTCATGTGAGGAGGAGCCAAATTTGCCTTTTAAGAGATGGGTCAAAATTATAAAGAATCTATATATTTTTTTTTTGTTTTGTTTGTTTGTTAAAAAAAAAAAAAAAAAAAAAAAAAAAACCTTTGAGGGTTGGGATTGAATTCAACACGTCTTATTACCTAAAGTTCTTTTGCTTTTGAGGTAATATATATAGTTTTCAATACACCATAAAGTTCGTTGATGATTAAATTTGTGACTTCATATTCGGAAGAACCATATTAGACAACACTCCTCAAAAAATCACTTTCTTTTCGAAACTCCCTGATTGGGCATAAACTATAACATTTATATTTGTAGGTATTTATTAATCTGCAACTAGTATTTTGTTATTTTCTTGTAGTGTAAGAAGCACTTTCATATTCAAAATGCATATATTATATGTAGTATTATTTAGTGATTTATAAATTTAATTTTAAGCCCGTCTTTTTTAATTTAAAGTTGTTAATCAGAAACTCGTGGCCACCTCTATCTTTCTTTTATAGTGCTTGTTATCATTGTAGATACTAGATAATATAATATTAATATTAAAGTTATAAACCAATATAGTTTGATCTCAAGATTTTGGACTATTTTAAGAGATAATATGTCCTTAGGCTGAGCACACCAAATCTATATTTTAACACGTGTGGATAGGGGCACCAATTTGCTGCGTTGACTTAAATTAGGAGGCGTGGTAGAACTGTTGAATTGGCACCCGGACACCATATATGCATGTATTTTGTTGAGGTTTGCTGAACTCCAAGAGTTGACTTTTTAAAATTGAATTTGTTAAATTGATAAATATTATGAAGAAATAGTATTAATAACTAAAAAAAAAAACAAGTTTTCCATTATTGGCGAATTGAAACTGATTTTCCTGGATGGCACTACAACTTGTCGACTTATTATGGCCTTAGCTGTTCCTTGCATTATTCACAGTTTTTGTCAAACATTGAAGTATTGGCCCCACACCTCGATGATACAAAAAATATAGACCCCATTTGGTAAAATAGTTAGTCAATTTTGACTTATTTGATGACTATTAGCTATTTGTTTTGGTTAAACAATCAATATTAGTATTTGATTAATTTATTAGCTATTTGATTTGGTTAAACAATCAATATTAATATTTGATTAATTAATTTTTTGTAATAATTTATTGCTCCAAAATGCTAAAATTCAAAAAGCGGCTAACAATTAATTTATCAAACACTTTTCTACAATCAGCTAATGTTATCAACTAGTCAAATGAAACTCAATAACCCAATAAGCTATCAGCCATTTACCAAACACGCAATAGAGTAGTTAAATGGATTTTTGAGTTTAGATTCTCTAATGTAATCTATTACTCAAGTTGGTCAAAGAGTTAGTTTGATAATTATAAGTTTGAAGCTTGATTTTTATTGGGAGTGAACTAGTGATCTTATTAGTTAGAGTCGGTTAATTATGGATGGTGCGATGGTTGAATGCAGTTCAGGGACATCCTGGGTAAAGGAGCAATAAAGACAGTTTACAGAGCATTTGATGAAGTCCTAGGAATGGAGGTTGCCTGGAACCAGATCAAGCTGAACAATGTTTTCCGGTCGCCGGAAGAGCTGCAGAGGCTATACTCCGAAGTCCTCCTCCTCAAGGACCTTGATCACAGCTCCATAATGCGATTCCATGCATCCTGGATCGACACCGATCGCCGGACTTTCAACTTCATCACCGAGTTGTTCACTTCCGGCACGCTCAGAGAGTAATAAATAATTCATTCATATATGGATCTTCCATCTCGAATCACGCTTTCGGAGATAATAAGGTTATAATCGTGGGTTGGGTTGTCTTTGAAACAGGTACAGGCAGAGGTACACGACAGTGAACATTCGAGCAATCAAGAACTGGGTGCGCCAAATCCTTGAAGGTCTTGCGTATTTGCACAGCCATGATCCCCCAGTAATCCACCGCGATCTCAAGTGTGATAACATTTTTGTGAATGGGCATCTCGGCCAAGTCAAGATCGGCGATTTGGGCTTAGCAGCCATGCTCCGTGGATCCCATGCCCATAGTGTCATAGGTAAAAGTCTAAATTGACAGTTTGATTGTACATTATTTTCGTTATTACCAAAGTACACATTATTTTCAGTTATTATTGGAGGGGGTGCATTCCGATTTGAGTGAGGAGAAAAACTAGTAGTTACTATTGGAGAGGTGCATTTTGTAAATTAAAACTTGTGAATCTAACCAGCAAATGACTACTTTGTGACTCTAACCGGTAAAAGATAAGTTAAATCTGTTGCCTCCCGCTGACTAATTTAAATCGAGAAAGCTAATAGGCAGCCTAACCTGCAAAGAACGGGCTCAAATTAAGAAAGCTAATAGGCACCCTAGCCAGTAAAAAACTAGTTAAACCAATTGAACTTGTAACTTTATGATTAGTTGATTACAAAGTTAACAACTTGACTAACTTGACTGGAGTTGACCTATAAAATAGTATTAATGATGTTGTTTTGGTAGGTACACCTGAATTCATGGCACCGGAGTTGTACGAGGAGGAGTACGATGAGCTGGTTGACATATACTCCTTTGGCATGTGTGTATTGGAGATGCTCACTTCTGAATATCCATACAGCGAGTGCACCAATCCGGCTCAAATATACAAGAAAGTCACATCTGTAAGCTCATGCATGCATGCATGCTAGCAAGCTACCTTCATCCTTAAAAAGTTCTGGTAAATTAACGTTAACATATACGCATTAATTGTTTGTCACAGGGAAAGCTCCCTGCTGCATTTTATCGGATTGACAATGCTGAGGCTCAAAGATTCGTGGGAAGATGCTTGGAGCCTGCTTCCAAACGCCCATCCGCTCACGAGTTGCTGCTGGATCCATTTCTTGCTGCTGATGAAGAAGAAGATGAATCTGCGAAACTCCCATCCCAGAAATTGATTCCCAATGGAAAATTGCTTGAAGTTGAACCATGTTTTGTTGACCAACAAGCTAAAAGCTCAGATATGACCATCACTGGGACATTGAATCCTGAAGATGATACCATCTTCCTCAGAGTACAAATCTCTGATAAGGATGGTACATACTGCTCCACCTTCCTTTATTTTTTGAGTGACCAGAGAAACCTGCAACCCAGAGGGTAAAGTTCACCTTCTAACCCAAACCAGAAACCCACAGCTACTCAATAGTGTCACTGGGTAAACTTTGTCTTGTGACCTTATCTGGAACCCCAGCTATCGGAGGGGTGTTTACCCAGTGACCCTAGCCAGTAAAGAATGATAAACCATGACTTTTGTTGAGAGTTGAGCTTAATGGCAACCTTTTAGTTACCAAGTGAACAATCTGATGTAGCCTAACCAACTTTCTAATATTAGCATTGATTTTTATGATTTGGTTGGCATTGCAGGGAAAGCTAGGAACATATTTTTCCCTTTTGATATCACTAGTGACACTGCAATGGAGGTGGCCACGGAAATGGTGAAGGAATTGGAGATAACAGATTGGATGCCTCTGGATATTGCAGAGATGATTGATGAGGAGATTTCTGCATTAGTCCCAACCTGGAGATCAACTCAATATCAGAAACAGCATAGCTTCAACTACATTGATGATGATGATGACGACAACAACGTAGGAATTAGCACTACTCGCCACCCCTTTTATTCCCTCTCCTCGCAGTCATCTTCCCAGGCCTCTCTCCCAGACCTCCTTGAAAAAATAAACCATGATTGGCTTCAAAGTACGTTCATTTTTCATTTAAATTCGGATAGTTTTAGTTCTATATGTTCATGTTCTGTGTTCTGTCTTAACTAAAAGTTAATCTAAGAATCAAATTTGACTTGTCCCAGATGATGATACGAGTTCGCGAAGCTCAATGAACTCGTACGACTGCTCGAACTTGTGTTGGGCTACCGAAAGCGAAGGTGATTTGAGCTCCATTGGGGGTAGGGAATCTTTGTTGATTCAAAAGACAAACACGGGTACGAGGTTGTGCCCAGAAACAAGCAGGAGCAATAAGAAGAAGGGTTGTTGTGGGTCGAATCATCAGCGGCCAAAGATGAGTAGAGTTCGGTCGATGGTGGATCTTCGTAGCCAACTGTTGCACCGGACACTGGTGGAGGAGGTTAATAAACGGCGGCTGTTCAAGACGGTTGGCGCCGTCGAGAATATTGGGTACCATGAACCGGCTGAATATTCCTGCAAGGGGAATCGTTCGTTTCAACCGTTTGGCCGATGAAGTTCTTTCTCACTTAGTGAAAAATCTTTGAAGTTCAGTGACATATTTAACGCTTAATAAGAGATTTCGGGTTCAAATCTTCTTGTAAAAAGGAGTTCTTCACCGCATCATAGCAAGTGAGTAAGTCCCCAGCAGCCTTACAAAATGGATTTTTTTTTTGGTGAGACCTGCGACGACTATTTAATCCTTCTGAATCTTGTTCCTCCTGCATCAGTGTGGAGAATTTCGCTCATCCCTTCGGGTGAGTCTTCTAAGACCTTAGTTCAATAATGCAGACTCTATAGTCTTCTTATGTACATTATAAGATTTGTACCAAAAACATGTACAATGCAGAATGTTGTGTCTTGTGATATAATGAATGTGCTTGATTATATTGTAACATTTTTCCACAAACCTTATGACCCTAGTCATTAATTAACCACACTGAGCAACTTGATTGAGTTGCCCAAAGCCTTTATTTTCCCCTCTTACCTTAACTTCCCAAAAAAATAATAATATTTATCCTCAATCGTTATGCCTTGGAACCGTGTCCACCTTGCAAGTTGGACATGATTCTTTGTTCATAATTATTGAATTATATGTTTATAATTATAAAACTATATATTCATAATTTTTTAACTTCATATTCATAATTATTCAACTCTATATTTACAATTATAGAACTCTATGTTTATAATTACTGAATTATATATTCATAATTATAAAGTTATATATTCATAATTTTTGAACTTCATATTGACAATTATTGAATCTCTATATTCATAATTACAGAACTATATGTTCATGATTATGTTCACAACTCTATGTTCATAATTATAGAACTATATGTTTATAATTTTTGAACTATATATTCATAATTATTAACAGTTTTGAAACCGTATCCATCATGCAAGTTGGACACGGTTCCGCATCATAATTTGCCATTTATCCTAAGCGAAAGGAAAAATTCATCTTGGATAGATAGCTCAATGAGAAATGTGGGTTGAGCCCAAACCGCAGATAAGGCCCAATCCACAATTTTAATTACTTTAAAGAGAGCAAATGTTAGAATTTTAATCATTCGTGTTCTGACTTCTGAGTACGTGCAATTCTTGGCATGTGGACTTCTATATTGAATTATTGATATGATATGAAATTTGAAGAAACAAATATTTATTTCATTTTTATAATTTAAAATTTTAATTCTTTTTTCCAACTAGTTAGTTTAAAACTCATGAGAGAATGTTTTGCACATTTAAGATCTTACCCAATACAAACTAGTTTAAAACTCACGAATCTTCGTAATGGTTGGGTTAATATGAAAATGTAATACTTATATTGAAAAACGTAATACCTAATACTTATATTGAAAAATGTAATACCTATAAGAAATAAAATATTTTTTAATTACTTATAAGGGAAAATGTAATATTTTTTATGAAAAAATGAAATACTTATAAATCAAAATGTAAAAAGTATTACATTTTTTCTCAAAATTCCCTTTCCCAAGTAACAAACACTTTAGTCTTGATTAGTATTATATTTTTTAATATAAGTATTATATTTTCATCTCGACTCGAACCGTCTTACGGATAAGAATTTGTGAGATGGTATAAGACAAGTTTTTGCCCATTTTAAATATATGCTTCCAAATTTATGTATATCTAGAAAAAAGAAAAACAATATTATTTTAACAGATGAGTGAGTAAAAAGTATTAAACTCTGACTTTCTACAATCTATAAATGGCAGGAAAATTTGGTTTCATAATTCTCTTTTGCCCTCAAGGCAGGGTTCAATTGTTGAGAAGCTGTATTTAAAATTTACTTTTCGTGATAGGGTAAGAGTTTGAATAATGTCGGAGACAATCTAAAAATTAGGTTCTTAGATATGGACTAGGATTGGGTTGAGCTTAATGTGCTAAGGATACCTGGGTTATGAAAAAAAAAAAAAAAAAAAAAAAAAAGGCAGGAAAAGCGACAAAAGGTTTTGATAATGATTGATTTCGAATCTTTGATGTTTGGCTGTGGTGAAAGGAATCCAGCTTTTAAGGTTAATGAAAGGTTAGTTTTAACCTAAACATCATGTCTTAATTATTTCCACTAATTAATGAAATTATGAGGATCACGTAACCCCTTTTCATGTCTCATTCATCCAATCGGAATATAATGCTTCTTTTGCTTATTACATACATGACTTAATTAGTTGGAAGAAACGTACACATGATGATTATTGATAAATAATCGTCTCAGCAATCTTCTCCTAATTGGTATTTTTAATTTTAATATAATCATAATGTCAATGATTAGCTGGTTGCTTTTTTATCGGAAGTAATGATTAATTAACAATTTTGAAAGAAAAAAAAAATGTTTAAAGTTCTAGTTTGAATGTTATACAAACTATAAATGTATTTGACTAAAAATATATGTTTATATAAGAATTTATTGAAAATGAACCCTCATCATTATATTATATAGAAATTGTTTAGAGGCTAAGTGGCTAAAGTTAAATGTGGATGGGTGTTGCAAAGTACGACTTACAAGGCTGGGGTAGAGGCCTTCACAGAGATTTGGAAGGTAATTGGGTTAAGTGTTTCACCTTCAACATTAATTGAAAGATGCTCGATTGAGGAAGCAGAGATATGCGCTTTTCTTAAAGTACTACGATTAGCACACAACCAAGGACTTGTCAGCTGGAAATCGAGAGTGATTCAGCCATAGTGGTGACTTGTGTTAAGGGCGTTGCCATTCTAATAGTCATGTTCAGAATGTGATTGAAGCATGTAGGCCATTCTAATATTCATGTTCAGAATGTGATTGAAGCATGTAGGCAGGAGCTTAAAAACTTTGATGAGTTTAAGTATATTTTTAGAGAACATAATAGAGAGGTAAATAGATTGATAAGCTCGCCCCTTCACCACCCATTGCTACAACTAACAACTTCAATATTCTGCCGGACCTAGATGGACTAAATATTTTTACTCTAGTACTCACAACAAGGTCAAATTCATACTTTCATTTTTTTTTATATATATCTTTGATTAGATTTAAACTCTACCGCCAACGACGGGTAGCAACTATCACTCATCTACATAGAGGCAACATTATATTGGGCACTACACTACCTAGCTAATCTATATTATAGCCATATATTATTCAATTCAATTATTTTTAGAAATTTACTAAGGTTGAATTGGGGGTGGTTGTAATGTTAGAATTGAATAAGCTAACATACTCAACAAGACAAGATACAAGGTATGGATCAAAATGTTCATATAAAACAACAAAACTATCGCAGAATCTCAGCAATATGTTGGGTTGGGAGGTGAGCTACCTACCTATCAAAACTAATTAATAAGCTTCAATTCATCTCCTTCTTGCAGTCTTTTCTTTCACACAATTAAAGGTGATATGATTTAATTTGGTTCGCCCGCCGACACTGATTCTCTATCAATTCTGCTTTCATTCCATAACTCACAACCTACCTAGCTAGACACAATTTGAGAAATTGGAAGCTAGTTAGCCCAATAATACACCACAATAATCAACAACTTAAATACTTATAGATTATATTTTGCTGTTTTACCAATGACGAAAATCTGTTGGTAATTAAATACTTACAGATTTCAGTAATTTACTTATGAATTTTTCTATTCAGAAATTTAAGTTTTTATATCGTGATAATTAAACATATTTGAACGGAAAAGAATTAAAAAGAAAGTGTATTACACGGTAAGTCCACAACACAAATATAAAAAATTAAAATATAATGAACAAAACACTAAAATACAAATATAATTCAAGTGAAACCAACCAACATGAAATATTAAAAAAATTGAACTCACGAAAAGGGAATGAAGGTTCCAACAATGAAGAAAAATTCGAGGATTGTATATTTTTATGTCGGGAAAAAGTTAAATAATTTGGTGAATAAAAGCAAAGAAAATATATACACACAACGACATAACAGACAAAATGAATGGACAAACATTTCATTAATTATACATACAAATGTGGCTACGTGGTCCATCACATTACATTTCTTCTTGAAACCACTATTGTCATTTCTTGCATTAAAGTCAATCGACAAAGTGATAGAATGATTTTTGTCATATTTCATTTATCATCAAAATATTAAAAAGGTTTCTCAAAATCTCTATAAAAAAGCGATATTTATTATTTTTAATATTAATATTATTTGACGAGATTTAGACAAATAAAATAAAGTATTGTCACATAATATTTAAAACTCTATTTCACGCATGGACAGACCAGACACATACAAACATGCGTATAATATATATAAGAGTCAGTAATGATAAAAACTAATACAAATAAAAATATACTCCGTATTAATATAATTAATTACAGTTATAATGTACATTACCTCACATATACATTGCACTTGCACATTCTTTTGGTTTTACACTCATTTTTCATTTTTTTTTCCTATTTTAGTTGTTACCAACATTAAATAACATTATTGTTATATGTGATAATTTATACATTATATTTATTTGCTTGTCCATTTACAGCTTTTTTAATTTTATATTTCTTCTTTCCTTTTTATTGATATGCTGATTAGTTTATTGTCTTTATCTGCTTTTTGTTTAATTTTATTATTTTTCATTAAACAATAACTTTGTCGCAGAATACACATTATATTGCTTGGATTTAATTTCTAGGGTGACTTCAATGAAAATTTGTAGAAACCTTTATGGCATGTTTGATTCGCGGAATAGGCTTGAAATGACATAGCATTCCTAGTAATAGGTATATTCCTTTGTTTGATAAAAGTTTCTATTCCCATAAACATTATTCCTGAGAATGACTCATTCCCCCTAAAGGAATAGCTATTATTTGAGCCCCTGGTATACATATTTCTAAGTCTTCAGAAATAACTTTTTTATTTTATTTTTTATTTTACCCTTCAAAATTCATCCCGTGAACCAACCGTATTGTTAAAAAATAATTTATAAGCTCTATAATAAATTTTACTAAACATAACCTAAAATGATCCAAAGTACGTGAAGCGCAGCTTGTGGTAAAAATTACACTTATCACGTGCACAGTTTCTCATATTACTATCCTTTCTCTGCAGTCTGCACGTTATATACGGAGTATTCAACTACCCAAAATTATACTCTTCAACTACCGAGGCTAATGTAATTTTTATTTATTTATTTATTTATTTTAATTTATTATTATTATATTTTTTTTAAAAAGGCTAACTTAACTTTTGAATACTCATGGGTGTGAATGAGATGATAAAGGTCTCTTAGTGATCATGGGTTTGTTCGGGCTTAACTCAATGATTTAATACACAATATTTGAGATTAGAGACCAATGTTCGAAACTAGCAGCGGTATTAAGG